ATTTTAGCTCCGTCTACACAAACTCTAGAGGGAAATATCTGGCTCTTTAGCAGGCGGCAACCTCCGGTTCTGAAGAGTGAAGCCAATGTGGAAGTGTCTTAAACTTGGATCGTCTCCAATGTCCTTCAGAGGGCGACTCCTCTGGCTGTATAAATGTCTATGAGAAAATGACCCTACTTCTCACTTGACTTATTACCCTCAGTAAACATTGTAAACATGAGTTTATGGTCTCAGTCGCAAGTCCTCCTTAATTCAGTAAATAATGGTCCCACTTAAATAGAACATAAAGCGGAGTATGCTTTAGGGCGGGCTTACCGTGATTGACATTCGTCTTTATGTCACTCCTTCGCAGACCAAATATGGTAACTTACGCTCAATGGTTGCAAAATCAAGGCCGAACTCAAGGCTTCGAAACTGCAGTCCACAAACCAATGGGTGACATCATATTATCATATTGAAAGCTTTACCACATTCACCAGCTATCACAAATCACTTGTCAGTCTGCTGTCTGCTGTTTGGCAAGTCGAGTTCTTTGGGGTTGCAAGAGCTTAAGGTTGATGAATGTTGAGACTGAACTAAAACAATAAGCTGAAAGACACTCAAATGCTCCGTTGAGCTGATGATTCTCTGAGTTTAACACTTTGACCTACTCATTACACATTTGATCCCTTGCTAATATAAAAATACTGATTTGAGCAGCTTTAAGATTAAGATTGTTTTCATGGACGGCCTCGTTGATGTAACATCCTCATCACAGAGGATTATGTGATCCTTATTAAAACCATGGTGTTGCCGAGGTCAAAACCCGCCACACGTGTGATACCTGAAACCGCAGTGAAAATGCCGCAGTGGTAATTGAAGTAACTCAAGGTTAGGACACGTACTGTATGTGTTTGTGTGTATGCCATGTATATGTAGGCACCTGGGAATTGATTTAGCTGTATTGTTCCCATTGTACTGATTAATTAATAAGCATCAATAACATTCTGCCACCCCAAACATTGTGTTTTATCATCCTAAAAAAGAAAATAAGAGTGAATGTGTGTCCAGGAGCTGATTTATGGCTGAAAGCTATCTGGTGTAATGAGGCCAAGGTTGATTTACAAGCGCAGAAAGCCCCATTCCCCATTCCCCAGCGTGTACATGCAAACACATACACTTAAGAGGGGGTCTGTGACAGCTGGTTCACTTTTTTTTAATGGCTTGCCAATTAAAAGCAAGTGAAGCTATGCTTTGCCACAGCCAAAGCCTGGCAAAAACTAATTGGTTCAAGTTTCAGAATCTATATTTGGTGATGAGACGTCGTGGAGGCTGTGTACCAAAACCTTGCCCTGACATGTTAAATCATGTTTTGTATCTTTGAATGAGGAACGAATATAATTTGTTTGGTGCAAAGGCCATGACAGCAGACCAGTCCAGACAATCACCTGAAAGGTAGGATGGGAGAGAAACCGACAGATAAGAGACAAGGAGGAAGACAGAGCAATCGAGAGAATGCGTGAAAGACAGACGTATGAAGTCTGTTAGCATATTAGCGTCCAAGCGGAGGACAGGCAGACAGGTGAAGGAGGAACAGAGTTAACATGAGTGGAGTCTGGCAGTCATACGCTCTAAGCCAGAGGGAGCACTGCTTTGGATGAGACACACTCACCATTAACCTATACTGACACGGTGTAGACAGCGGGGGAAACGGCAGAGAAAAGGGGCAGGAGAGACATTAGCAAGCAGCCAGTGATCGGTGGGGACTTCAGACTGGATTGAATTGTTCAATCAACAGCAACACAGCAATAGATAATGGGTCTATTAGCGAAAACAGTGCTGACCTTTCTAATTGCAGAGAGGAAAATCCTCATCACTTCAAGCATAACAAGTATGATTTCACCTTCATCCTCATGAGATAATGGGTTCACACCCGTGTCAACCTCCAAGGAACAAAATAATCTACAGTACGTCTTTCAAAAACATATTAATGATTATACACATTAGCAGTTATCCACATCAGATTGCACTGCATTATAAGTAAATCCACCCCACTATGTTATTGCTCCAACTACAACTGACTGAGAAGATAACCACATGAAAGCCAAGTTAAAGAAAGACATTCCCAAACAAGGCTTTTTTGATCCATCATAATGTTTTGCTTTCTCTCCTTCAAGTCTTTTTTTAGAAGTCCCTTTAGCTTTGCTGAAAGAAGATTTTAGGGCAAAAACATTCTTGTATTCTGTTGATTCAACTTCTAAACATTCATTCATTCATTGATCATTGAATATTCTTGATGCTAATTGTGGTTTTGTAACATGTTTTTCAAATGATGGAGATGAAACTTACACATTGTTCACTCTACATTTTATTTAAAAATGTTGGCATTGTTTAAAACTTGCTTATTGACACATGACAATGACACACTCATTTGGGGTCATGTTCTGGCCACCTGATGAATGTAAATGTACTATTCACGCCCGTTTGCTTTCCACTTACACCAGCTAGCCACTAACTTTGTCTGCCGTTTGGTGCTAAGCAGGTAGTGTACGGTGGGTTTTTCAGAGATTTACTTTTGCTGAAAACAATTGCCTGCTGTGGCCGAAAAAGACATGAACGGTGAAAAAGTAAAACAACAATGTAACAATTTGGGGTTCAGTGTCTTGCCCAAGGACACATCGACATGGACTAGAGGAGCCGGGGATCGAACCGCCGATCCACAGTCGCCCCTACAATGAACACCTTTTAAACATTACACAAACATCTATTAATCTTATGATCTTATATATATATATATATATATATATATATAGAAAATATTGAGTAAAGCTGCCTTAGTTGCCCATTGTAAACCAATAAAGAGATTGCCCTCAAAGAGTGCTTGGGGTATTTCATGTAAGCTCTGCATTGTCACTGTTAATCACACACACACACACACACACACACACACACACACACACACACTCTCTCGGCTGGAGTTGACATGCTAGAGTCTAGTTACCCATGGGGAATGTGCCTTGAAAAGACATTAACCAATTAGCACTGATCAATAGTCACAGCCACACAGGAATGAGCCAGCCTAGGAACATTGTTAATGTGTGCCTCTAGGCCAATCGGCAGGCTGGGAATACCATTACTCTCAGCTCTCAGCCAATGAAAACGCTGGGAGAACTCTTGACATTCTGCTGCTCTCCTTTGCAAAGTACCTTTCCTGCTGTAGCTAGGCAGAACAGGCTGCACAAGGAAATAAAAGGGAGAGATGGAGAGATACGGCGAGACAAGGAGAGGAAAGAGGGGAGGTGGGGGGAATAGAGGAAGAATGGGACAGTGCATGTGTTCGGTTGTGAAAGCAGGTGTCATAGTGGGCTGCCATGGGCAGCAGGTAATCTCACTGAGATAAGCATGACAACCAACCTTTAATTCCCCATGGAAGGTGGTCCTGTGGAGTTGTCGCAAGGTTGTTCTCCCTATCCCCATGGAAATAGATTCATATAAAAGGACTAATGGGAAGATATGGAGGGAGGATGCATTTGATGGGCGGGGGGGATTGAGGCGTGAGAAGACGAAAGAGTGAAAGCGTCACAGTCGTACTTCTACTTTGCACATTCTGCACACAGACATGAATATGTTCGCATGATCCCAGCAGCACCTCTGCACTGCAACTGTTCTGTATTCATCATGAGGAGAACAAATATTGGCATGGGGCTTGGGATGTACAGGGGATTTAGGCGGGAGGGAACGAAGGAGAAAGGGGAAGTAAAAAAAAAGAGGAGGAGATATCTAAAATATTACACCTATCCGGGGGAGTGTTCAGTGGAGCAGGCATTATAAGAGTGTAAATGACATTCCCTCCTTCTCCCCTTGGGCTGCTGGCTGCTGGATGAATATATTCGCCCACAGCTCCAAGCACCCAGACACACACTGCGCTGCTTATAGACACTAGCAGATTATCAGATAAAGTCCCATGACGTGTTTATGTTATTGTCACAGAAGTCTCATATCGATCTGGCATCACTTCTCCAGCCTGTTCTTTTTCTGAAACGATGTAAAGTATTGACTCATAAGTCGTTTGTCTCAATTGGGAGGAGATCAATAGTAATTCACTGGGGCATGTAAAACATCCAGCATCGAGTGGGACAGCTTCTAAGGTGGTAGGACGGACGAGAGGGCGGGTCTTTGCTAATTCAAATTCAGTGCAGCAGAAGTTCAGGTATTAAGCTCTTTGTCTTCCTTTGAATTTTCTGTCTTTATTTTTACTTAACAACCATTATAAAAAAAAGTGTGTTCTTGACCTTTTTGAACTTGTGCCTGTATTCCTTGTAACATAATTTATCTCAAGAAATGAAAAAGGAAAATACCTTTTGATTGAAAGAGGTCACTGCACAGGCTGAACACACGCTAAACATTATTTGACGAAGCGGCTATTCAAACGACGAGAAAATGAATCTGCTACTACTTTGCAAGAATTAATTAATACAAACAATTTCAAGTAAAAGAAATAGCTTTGGCTTTTGGACTGCTGGTCTGAAAAAACACGCAGTTTAAAGATGTCAAATTGAGATTGATGGATAGTGAAAAGTATCCATATCACCATTGGGACAGTTCATCATTCTCTCAGTCAATTTGTCTTTGTTGCTCCGTGTATTACAATCTGTTAGCAGAAGCAAATAGACAGCTCTATCTCTGCTAATTTGTCTTTCGATTGGACCTGGAGAAAAAAAAAGGAAGGTAGCGAGCGCACAACTTAGGTCATGAAGGGGGAAACGAAAGCAGAACTGATCAGTCTTTACGGCAAAGCCAGTGGCAAGGCCCAGATGTCAGGGATGTTAGGTCAGCGCCTGCTAAATCAGAGGGCAGTAGCTAGAGTCAAGGCTCATTACTTTTTTACATTAGACAACAGTTAAAGGAAACACTATTCTAATTCGCCTCTTTTCACGCCTCCATCCTCCCTATCCCTTCCTCTTCTCTTTCGCCACCCTTGTCTCCACCTACTTCCTCCTCCTCCTCTCTCACCCAATCAGGGCCGCTGTTCCAGGGAGAACTGCAAGTACCTGCATCCTCCCCCCCACCTAAAGACCCAGCTGGAGATCAATGGAAGGAACAACCTCATCCAGCAGAAAAACATGGCCATGCTGGCCCAGCAGATGCAGCTTGCCAACGCCATGATGCCCGGCACGCAGCTACAGCCAATGGTGAGAGGACACGCATGCACGCATACATACACAACTCAAATGAACATAAAGAAAAAGATTACACTCATTATCTACACACATGGGTTCATTCTCTCAAAATATATCTGTTATTTACAGAGCAGAAACCATGAATGTTTTGAACATGTTTTCATCGTTTAGAGCGGTTTCTTTTGTGATGATTGTGTTTTGGGGAAAGTCTTTTTGAGCCAGAGGGCTCAGAGACCTGCATTATTGACTGTTCCTATTATGTTTTATAGCCCAGCGCCATTTGTGGGGCATTGTTTTTTTTAACAATTACTTTAAAATAGTTTTAATATTTTAATACATACGTTTGACAAATAAGGCTAGAGAATGAAATTAAATTAGGGAACACGAAAAAAAGACAACGCATACAAATTTAGTTTGTGATTCCTGGAGCAAAACAGACAAATTCAACTAAACTTTTTTTTTTCAACTAAACAACAAAAACATTTCAATAAATATTAACATTTTAATTGGACGAACTCTGACAGATTGCTCGATATACATTATGCCGTTTAATCCGTGGTTTAAAACTGCCTGTATTATGCTTAATACACTTTTTGGGTATCATTTAATTGAATATGTTAAAGGAAAAGAGTCTATTAATGCCAGCAAAACATGAATGTAATCATTTGATCAACTTGTGGTCAGCTCTAAAGATGCTGACAATGGTTTTGACTCTGTGTTGCCTTCATTCACACCAGCCAAAATTACCAAATCTATCCTCCAACTGTGTTTGAAGAGCCAGGTTAGCAGCATCAAAATGAACCGAGCTGTTCAATTAAAGCATAAACCAACAACTTAACGTCTGCCTTCTCGTAATTATAATGGGACTATATGGCTCTCGGCTTGGGATGCTCAAAGCGCCAAAAACTAATTGAATTTGAAAAACTCAAAAGAGAAATCAAGACTCGGTTACTCAAGATAATCCACATACCCTAGTTAGCACTTTCTCCACCATGAAACTTTAGGGCCGAACTTCCCTTCAAATGATTAATAAGTCATAGTCCAATATAGTCAATAGTTTGCTGATTCATTTTCTGTCAATTGGCTAATTGATTGACTAATTGTTTCAGCACAAGTTCATTAAAATCATGTTATCCCAGATTAATCAAGCGACGTAAGAACAACGTAGCCCGGGCATCAGACACTGAATTCTTACCACACTGTGATCGATAAAGTATTACATTATTATCATCATGTAACACACCCACAAATCCATGGCTGCACACCCACACACAGACGCAGTAAATTACATTAGAAATGGCTCTGCGACTGTGCTGCATGCTCCACAGAACTTCAAGGTGATGGCCGGAGCTCCAGTCAGCCAGCTCAAATCAATCCTTCCCTGCCTGGTCCATGAGACCTTACAGAGTCAATGAGACCTGTCAGTCAGGCTTGAAGTAATTCCTCTGTCTTCTCCTCTGTCCCTTTATGTTTAAGTGAGAGCAGTGGAGTGAATTTGTCTCAGACTATTCAAAAGAGCTTCAGATGCTGCATGCATGGACACACACACACATGGACACTTAGCCGATGGCTTATCACCCTTATCTGGGGAAGAGGGGCTGAGTCGAGAGGCCCATTGAGAGGAACAGAGGAAACCATGAAAGGATTTAAAGAAGCAATAGATCTCCCTGGGACTGCAAGGCCTTCCCTTTCTGTTCATGTCATGGGGAGAGAGAAAGTAAGGAGAGGAGAGCATGAGGGAGGCAGGCTGACAGAGAAGGACACAGCAGAAGAAGAAAGGGAGGACCGAGTAAGGCAGGAAGAGATAAATGGACAGAGTAAAGACAGGTAGGAAAAGTGAAGGAGATAGGACGACAGCAGTGAGGAGAGATGGCTTTAGACCTGCACTGCAAAGAAAAGTCAAACAAACAGAGCCATGTTGTGTGCAAAGGGAATAAAAGGGTAAGATCGGGTACGAGCATTTCCAGGAATCAGACTATTCCTCCATCATTCCCTTGTGTCCTTAGCTTAGTTTCCTGCCCCCATCGCTGGTATCTTTACCCAATTATATCTGCTGCTCTCTCACTTTTTTTGTCTGTAGCTGGCAACCCTCCCTCCATCTGCGCAGGAGAACGCTTTCATTTCACGCATGGAACTGTGCAGAGGGTGAAGTAATTCAGGCCCCTTACAGCCGTCTGTGAGTGATGGTGCTCGTGATGCTTTTTATTCGAGAGTCAACGTCAGCGGACAGCCCACATGACAATTATATCGACACAGTAACATTTCACTCACTCATTCACTCACACACACTTTTGGTGTACTTGTTTGGTGCAGATAGTTCATAGAAATAAGTGAATTAAAACCATAAAAGCCACAAGGGAATTCTTACGTCTGTATGGTTATATGTGTTTGTTTGGGTGGGGGGTGAGCAGGGAGGTAGGCTAGTGTTTAAAATGGTTGCACCAAAGTCCAGAGTGTGCACAGTGTAGATAAAATACTGTCGCAATCCAACAAATCTGAGGTCAGGTTTCTTCCTACTGGTTAAATGTAATGGACTTAAAAGGAAATCTTTTGTTGACATTGTGCATATTTTGCAAAATATTTGCTCAAACTTAGGCTTCAATAATATATAAAATGTGTGGCTTTATTCTACAACTTTAAAGATTGTGACATTTATGAACGCTGTGGTCTCAATTTAATCAAGCTAAATGTTGTAAATATGGACTGCTTGTTAGTTTCAAATCACACAGTAAAAAACTAAATCACACTTGGCATATACAAAATTGAAACAGCTCTAGCTGATCACATTGCTTTTGATCTTTCTATTTAAGTCTTCGAGACAAGTTGAGTTATTTGGTCTCGATCAGATACCCTCATAGCGTTCTGTTGTCACATAACATTATAATACAAGCCATCTTTGATTTTTAAATCGTAACATATGTGATCTAAATTGAGTGATCATTCTGTATAACATGCTTTTCTAATTCTGATTGAAGGTAGATAAAAGGGTAACTCTTTGTAACTAAAAGATTGTCTGAGAAAGAGCTACACAAACATCACTGCAGCAACACAAACTGCTGACAGGAGACGTGCAGTGTGATGTTTTTCTGTTCCTACTGTGTAAATCTACTTTGTTTAACATAACTGCTTTCAATCCATTCCGATTGTGATTTAAAGCAAGAATCTGCATTGTCCTATCATCACTGGCAACGATTCAATGCCAAGTGAAGAGACATTCAGATCACAAACTTCTTGCAGGATGACATCAGTGTCTCATGAGGGTCTTTTTTACTGACAACATATAAACCTTGAGCTTCGAATATCTCAGCACCTTGAGAGAAATACATCTACTTTTCCAGAGTACCTTGTGATAGAACATAATTCTTCAGACATTCCAGAGGGGAGCACTGAAAGAATTTAAAAAGTCCACGCCGCAGTGAAGAGGTTTTTTTGGGAGGAATGTAGCTGTCCACAGCCCTGGCTGCCGCTGCTCTATTACTCACTGTGTCCTGTTGGCAGGGGTACAAGAGACAATCCTTTGACTGGGGCTGAGGTCAGGAACATGCAGGGAAAACTTGCACTGCGCAATGTCAGCTAGCATACTCCTTAGCCTCCCTCTCAGTCTTTCAAACTCCAGTAAAGCACATGTTTGTACAGTAAAGGACTTCTTCCCCTAATGTGTGAAGATCAAATCATGACAGAGTCTTTGGCACAGACTATACAGGGAGATTTGTAATCGAGGGCCTGAGCACCAGCAAAAAAAGAAAATCCCCTGGTGTATTCCAGACACTGGTGGTGGCTGATGATTCTGCTCAGACTGGAGGCTGAGGAAATGATATGTTTGATGGTGATGGAGGGGCGCATAACAGCAGTATTACATACTAAAAGCAGAGAGACGATCATATTTCAAAAAGAGACAGCAGCAAGATGATAAGCTAACAATGTAGATGTGTCTCTGTGCTATTGGATAGAGGAGACCAGCTGATATCATCATTAATAGCCCCAAACAATGACAGCAATGGAATTATGAGTGAGCATCCGTGTGAGGGAGTGAATGGCAGGATGTATGAGAAATAAACTACAGGCCTAGGTATGCAAAGGTATTGTCTCCCTGATTGAACGCTAGTAACTAAAGGAAGAAAAGATAATTTATTATAAACAGATGATGTGTGATGATGACAGAGTCTTTGGTGGTTAGACTCTACAGAGAGTAAAAAAAAGAAGAAGACCAGAGCCTGATATTTACCCCAAAAGGAATGCTTACTCACCAAACAGGAAGTCAAATCCACTTCTGTAGTATTTCCACTATGTTGTTGTCTCTAGGACCACATGTTGCCATGATGACTCATGTTAAAAACAATATCAGCCACACGCCATCACATGTGGATGACGTGAATGGAATGCAGAGGTCAGCTATGACCAAAAAAAGAGCGTAGGACCTCTGCATTCAGAGGAGACAGTAAGCAGTAAGGTAGCCGTGAATGAAGAAAAAAAATCCACCTACATTTGTATGCACGTGTATGTATAATCTCAGCAAGGCACATTGACAGGGCACGATTGCGTGATTCTTTCACATTAATCTTTAAGAGGAGTGCTTTTATTGAGGATGACGACGACTGATTGACGCATAAGTGAGGCTTGCTTGAATGAGGTCAACATGATCCCGACGACTGACTTTAAGAGCTGTGCTGAGGTGGATGAATTCTGTGCATGTCAAGAATTGATAAGGTAAACTTTGCTGATAAATTAAACAATAAAACATAAATAGAAACCTTGGAATTTGTTGATTTTACCATGACAATTTCTGCAAGTTTCAAATCACGTGAATCAACATAGGGCTTTAAATGGTACAGGAATTCTATTTGTAGGCTAGGACAGCATGATGTGTTTCTATGGGAATTTAACAAAGCAAACACTGGATATTTCAATACCCTTATGAAACAATAGATACGACCCAAATGCGTCTTTCTGATATGCCTTAATGCATTAATCAAGTCTGATACCCGTGTAGTAGAGGTAAGCCGAGTCCCGCCGCTATTAGAGTATTTACGGTAATAGTTTCCCTGGCAAACATGGGACGCTGAGTGAATTAAATAACGTTGAAACCTCGAAACTTTTGAAATAGCACACTGATCACAATTACTGGATGGGGCCACCTGATTTATGTCTTTACTTTGGGTGTTGAGCGGCATGGACTTGCATCCGGGGCTCATGCGTCGGCTGCAACGAGGAGGAGGCCTGGTGGCGACGAGAGAGCCAGAGGCTGGAAGACAATCACTCCTGAGGTGTGCATGGACAGCTTTGCTGGATTTAGCCTTAGACTGCATGGTGTACAGAGTGACCTGGAGTAACCGATGAACTTGTTTGTGCAGGGAAACGCGTGGTAGAAGACTGTGTCTCCTCTGCTGAGGAATTGGACATAAACTGTGTTATAACAGGAGACTGGCAAAAAAGGTCAACGTGGACGTTAGCCATTCGCGTCGGTTCGTACCGAAAGCACAGACACTGGACTGATGAAGAGCGCGTGTATCAGCAGCATGAACGGAGCCCACTGTAGGCAGAGAGACGATCATATTTAAAGATAGACAGCAGCAAGATGATAGGCCAACTATGAAGGAAGGTCACTGCGCTATTGGATAGAAGAGAGCTCTCCGATGAGATCAGCTGATAGCATGATTGACAGCCCAAAAACCATGGTAGCGATGAAATTATGAGGGAATATGCGCGAGGGGAGTGACTGGCTGAATGTATGAGAAATAAACTACAAGTGAAGTCTCCTTGACTGAGTTTACGCTAGAGCTTCATTACTCCTGTGTGCGTAATGCATGTAGGGAACTGGTGACACCACATAGGTCTCCTTTATGTGTTCTCTCAAATGAAAGACACATCCCCAACCACAGTTCCTGTCCTCTACTTGGCTATTGCTGATTGCATACTTATTTCACTTTCATCTTTTATCACATATCATCAATCAGTAATTTGAGTAGGATTGAGGAAGGATGGCAATACGCTTTCTGGTAGATGTAAGTCAATATTCAACATTTTCTTCCGTGAAAACATTGTGACAAATCTGAGTGAGATAGTTTTGCTCAACTTTTTAGCTCAATTTTGGCCAACTCTCTCATTTTGCTTTTGCCCCACAGCCCATGTTTTCAGTCACACCCAGCCTTGCAACCAATGTCAATGCTGCTGCGGCAGCTGCCGCTGCATTCAACCCCTACCTTGGCCCTATGTCGCCCAGCCTGATGCCCGCTGACATGCTGCAAAGTGGCCATGTACTGGTCACCAGCAACCCCAGTGTCCCCGTACCAGCTGCTGCTGCTGCTGCTGCACAGAAACTCATGAGGACAGACAGACTGGAGGTGAGCAACACATGCATTCACACACATAGAGGCACAGAAGAGGTTAAATGTGACTGCACGAGCACACCCATAGACCACACAGATGAGAGGATTTGCATAATTGTTTTTTTTCCTTACTTTTATATCAGTCACAGATTATAAAATAGATTAACAAAACTCTAGTAAACACTGCACCCGGTGAGGCTCTTTTTTACCAGCTTTGCAAACAGATTGAGCTTTGAAATGTGGGCTTTGCCTATTTGAATATTAAATGCATTGCTTGGAAAGTCTTGCCTCAACAGTTTCCATTTGTAGACTTTAATTATGTATCTGGTACAGAGTTTCTGTTACAGTAACTACATCCCATTACCATAGTACAGTCATTAGCCAGACTTAAGCAAAGAGAGAGATAGACGTTAATGAGAGTATACAAACAATACCGTTGTTGATGCTGCATCCCATCAACAGGCAGGAGGCAGCATTGTTTGGCACAAGCTCAAGTTATACTGTATCAGTGTGTACATTTCAGGAAAAAAAACAATGTTTTCTGTGAAGGCCAACAGTCATTTGAAACCTGATGAGTGGCACTCCTCTAGCTGTGTTCAGATAATCATTAATTGGACAGTCAGTCAATCTCATCCATTATGCAGCCCCGCCCGGGAAACGCTCGCAGCGGAGTAATGGGGAAATCGTTGGAGGCAGGCAGGAGGCATGCCGGAGTGTTAGGAAGGTTACATTTAAAATGTAACGTTAGGTAGCTGGGTAATTAATGGGGGTGAGGCTGAGGAAGTCTCTGGGCCCGATGAATGAGTGGATGACATGCAGAGCGAGGGAATGGGTCAATGAGAGGAGAAAGAGATGGAGGGGTAGAGAAGAAATACATTTTTAGACCTGTTGCGGTCATCAGGGGAGCGGTTGGGGCAAGAGGAGTCATGACTGGTTATAGAGGTTGAGGCCATTTGGAGGCAAGAAGTTATTGTTGAAATAGAGCGTGCAGGTCTCGATTCAGGCTGGGATTCAAACAACTGCCTGCCGAAAGATTGATAGCATTCCACGGCAAAGTCCAGTAAACATATATTTAATATTTAACAATCAAATGCAATAATTGGGGCTAGAAAAAAAATCTGCTCAAGATATCTGCCCAGTGGTCAGCAGCTGCTGGTGAAGTGTTTTGATTGGGAGACATCATACCCTAGCCTAATTTATCAGGAACTAGGTTTGCTAAAAATATCTAAGTGAAAAGGGCCAGACATATTCTAGTTTCTAGTGTGTGTCGTTCAAAATAAACATAGCTGGGATTCTGTGGACCTACACACACACACACACACGCACACACACACACACACACACACACACCAGTGAGTAGATATGTCACGGGCTATTTCCTTGAGGCTGAGAGAAATTCCTATTTTAGAAAATAATGCTCCAGACTGTTTTTCGCGAGAGAAACATTTTCCGGCAGTCTCTCTGTCTCTGCCTCTGTCTTTCATGGAGCTACACTGCGGCCGCTCGGCATGCATACAGTCATAATGTTGCTTACCTGAAACCATGGTGATGTAAACGGCCCAGACAGAGGGACAGTTACCATAGGGACATAAATATGATTAACAGGCCCTTTATTTGTTTGTGCAACTAAGCACGTAGCTCTCTCTAATGCATGATTAACCACTGTTAGGAAAAACACACTGCTCTACACCTGGTGCAGAGAACATCAAATTGCTTCCGTTTAGTTTTACCTTTCGTCTCAAATATTTTTTTCTTCTCAATGCCAGCCATACTCACTCGATCCCAAAGACTCTCACTCTGTCTCCTTGATCCCCATCTGTCTGTCCTTTACTCTTTATTCATCAACCACACTTACATTTTCGTCTCTCTCCCTTGTTTCCTCTCTCCCTCCCTCCCTCACCCACCTCTCCAACATCTGCCTGACAACAAGCCAGTCTCTCTCTCTCTCTCTCTCTCTCTCTCTCTCTCTCTCTCTCTCTTCTTCTTCTTCTTTTTATTTTTTCATTTCTTTATTAATAAGACCAGTAGCAGCAGTGGTTGGGAATTAATGTGTGTGGGCGTGCGTGTGTAGGAGCACGTTCACATGTGACTTTGTGAGTGCGTGAGGGAGGTGCCCACGAGACAGAAGAGACAGACAGACAGACAGACAGACAGACAGACAGACAGAGGGAGAATCCGGCCCCATCGCTCACACAGAATCGGTGATTGCGGATGATGAGCCGTCATGACGGGAGACGGAGCAGGGTTAGTTTGTAGATTACACTGTTCGTGGCCTTTTGTCTGACAGCCGTTACACCACAAGTCACATCCTCTATGCATGCAGACAGTGAGTCTGGTAAACATTTGGCAAATGGCTTGTTCTGTTACAATAACTGATAGGTCGATACCACGTACCATGAAATTACATTTCAATTGGAGTAGGATAGGATTCTGAGTGCAATCTGGACTCAGTGGTGGCTGCCAGTGCTCAAACACAGATCTTAAGTTATTGCAAAGCCATTAACACGTCAAAAAAGCTGCCTCATAATTTATATGTGCACTCACCTTGCGTGTGCGTGTGTGTGTTATTATTTGTGGGCTGGTGATTACGTCAGCTGCAGCCTCCCTTAAGGGTAACCAACCAGCCTCATATTTCCCATGAGCCACGTAGAGCCCCGACATTCAGGCTGAGGCAATCACTTTCCCCAACTGTTCATGCAGATGCTGCCCCCTTCTGTCTTCATGAGGAAGAACAACAACACAGCTTATTTGAATAATGGATAAATGGTGTGTGATTGATGAGTCTGTAAACGCTGGTTATGATCCGTTCTGCTTATCAATCAACAGTAATGGCCGTACCTGTCACTGAGATTGGTTAGGTCTGTCTGGTAAAGTTATTGTCAAGTTCTAAAATGACTTAACAGATTGATTACTTCATCAAATGTGACGTAAAGTGAAAAGTAACTTCATAATGTGTGTGTAGGTCTGCTGTTTGTTGGCAGTTATGTGTGTGTGTGTGTGTGTGTGTATGTGTGTGTGTGTGTGTGTGTGTGTGTGTGTGTGATTTAGGCTTGTAGTCTCATCGTCGGGTAAACAAAATAAAAGTGAAACGTGTTTGTTTATGTGTTTTTTGTGCGCCAGGTGTGTCGGGAATACCAGCGGGGTAACTGCACACGTGGGGAGAACGACTGTCGCTTTGCCCACCCTTCAGATAGCACTATGATCGACACCAACGACAACACAGTCACTGTGTGTATGGACTACATTAAGGGCCGCTGCTCGAGGGAGAAGTGCAAGTACTTTCACCCTCCGGCTCACCTGCAGGCCAAGATCAAAGCCGCCCAACACCAAGTCAACCAGGCGGCGGCTGCTGCAGCCATGGTAGGTATCTGTCCACAGATTACAGCACCAATCAGGACTCAAAATAAAGAACGTGTACTGTATCATAGCATCCTGGGAAGCCACAGGAATCCTTATCAGCTAAAACAAACACGACCTCCACGTGAGCACATACAGTATACTGGAAACCATCCTAATTGGGCCTTAATTTGATGGATGTAGTTGTTTGAGAAGACCTTCCAGCCTGTGCTTTTACTGAACCTCCCAGCACACATCCCAGTCTCCTCTTTTCCCGCTCTCTTCAGCTCTGACCCAATACGCACCATGAAGATACAGGGTTGATGTGTGCTTTGTTAGCAGCAGGCTGTAGTATGTGGCTGAGCCTACTGCTCCCCTCCTCCTGCTCATCCTTGTTTTGTTGCTTTGTTAGTTGCATATTTTTGCTGTTGTTCGCAGTCAGGAGTTACATTTTTGCTGAAACTGGGAAGGCTGCAGTTCATTTCAACCTTGTCTCTGCAATGCAGTAATACGTTTCAATAGAGGGACACAATGAGGTTTTGCTCAGCCAAATTCTGTAGATGACAGTATGCAGCAGGTATTCCAGAAAGGAGGGTAAGCTTGATTTCAGTTGACCTTTCACGTTAAAGCCAGATTAGGCATATTATGATCACCCCTGCCTCCATATTTGACCAATAGAGTCAGTAATATCTGCCCTTTTTAGCCTCTACTCTCTTTTAAATGTTACACCTCGAGAGCAGATTAAACCCTTTAATTCTGCTTGTATGGCATTTGAAATGACGTCACTGGTGAAAATGCTATATTTACAATGTGGCTACAGACTTGGCTAAATTATCTTAAGTATTTGTTGTTTTAAACCTGGATTGCCTTAGATTTGAATTTAACTAATGTGGTTAATTGGCTGAACCAAAACACCATTACCTTCAACTCTAGGTTGATAAAACCGAATTTTCTTCCGACAACAAACTATGTCAAGGGCCATAATTCTTTTCAGTAACCCTACAGCCATTAATGTGCACGTCTTAGTCTTGTTATTGTTGTATATTGCATTCCAATGATTGGTTTTTATTTGTTTGTTTTTTTGTTTTTTGTTTTTTTGTTTTGTCTCACCAACCCACACTGCACTGCTGCCCCCATGATGCACCTCCGCTTACTGGTTTATGTTAATGCGCTTGAACCCCATTGGCCCATTGCCATCATGTGCTCGCTGCCTGCTAATTAAGACTCAGTCGGCTGTCAAATCACTGAAGCGACCCCTCGACGCAACTTTTGACCTGGTACTATGACCTTTCACCTTTTAGCTTGGCATGTAGCTGTGGTGTAGTAGATATACCTTTGTAGTTATCAAACAAAGGATGTAATGATGAAACACTGAGGGGTGATGAACTGATTGTAGCCATATGTCTTGTAGCATACTTTTTTCTTTTTTTTTTAAATGCATAATTGAATCTTGTTTTAAAACCAAAAAATAAAAAGCCTTAGATAGGAAATCCCCTACATTTTCCACTGGCAGTGGTCAGTTCATCACCTTAAGTGCATCTCAAAAGAAAATAATTGGTGGCATGAATTGTAATATTTTAGTCTCTAATAATGTTTGGTAGTCTTTGCATGATTCTGTCACTTCCCATATTGCATGTGTAATTGTTGAAGAGGTGTCTTAACATGGCTTATAGTGTACTATTATCATGGAGCTGGCAGTGCAGCTTTCCCTAACTACATCATTCCTGTTGTTGATGGTCCAACAATCAATACAACTAGTATCATAGTTGTCATTATAGTTATCATAACAGAAATATCTAGTTATTCCTCAGCCTGCAAAAAAATTCATTGTATGTACCTTTTTATTTTAAGGTCAGTGACATTGTGCTGAGAGTGTTTTTTTTGTTGTTGTCATTACCAAGATAAATGTCAGTTTGTCAGCTAGCACCACGGCCCTGTCTTGCTCTGACAGAGGTAGTGCAGTTCATTGCTTGCTTGCAAGTGTTTGTAACAGCTGCTTTGGAAGGGGAACTTTATCGTCTAATGAAATTCTTTCTTCTCTCTGTCCTGAATGTCACTGCTACCATCCTTTTGGTTCCCCTCACTCCCATCCCTTTATTTTGATGTTGTCCCCTCTTCAGGGGCTCCCTCCCTTGCCTCCTTTACCAAAGAGACCTGCACTTGAAAAACCCAACGGTGCCACCACTATGTTCAACGCTGGTGTATTCCAGTACCAACAGGCCCTGGCCAACATGCATTTTCAGCAGCAGGCTGCCTTCATACCATCAGGTAAGGCCCGAGCTGCCTTTAACCCATGGTTGTGGCAGTGATCTCATCGCTATTGGCTGTCAAATCTTGGCTGTTGTTTGTCACAACTGATTATGTTTTGGCATCAGCAGGGAATGGCTGAATGATTGTGTGATTTCGTTGTTGGTGACAAGATGGAACAAACTTGCATGGACTTAACTACGCATGTATGTACAGCATTAGTGTAGGTTGAGTAGCAGAAGTCTGTGTTGTTGTTGTTGTTGTTATTGTTAATGATATTATGCTCTTTTTTGTATGTATATTCTTTAGTATATCAACTTAGCAAATTCACATTGTGTTAAAAATGGTCTTTGTATCTATAGTCTATATTCTGTTGTACCATGTTATTAATGGTACAGTATGCACACACAACTCCTCTCTGGCCACTGTATAGTCTTCATACACTGTGTCCCATTTTCTCATCTGTCTCATATGTCCCACAATATTGGACTGTTAGGTCGCTGCAACAATTGAAGGACTCTGAAAGCAGGTCATTCAAAGCTACTTCTGTGCAAACAGCTGTTACGCTGCTGACAGGAAAATGGGACCTCTGGTAGTGTTTAATTTCCCCTTCCAGTTAACGGAGCAGTGAGAGTTGAGAGCCAGAGCTTTATATTTCATGCATAAGTATGTGTGGTTGCAGCAAGTCAGATGTGTAGCAAAGGAATGATTATTAATGTGTAACGTTATTAATAATACTCAGTATATAATCAGCTATATCATCATAGTAAGGAAGCCAGCAGGTTAACAGTAAAAGAGCACAGGTAAAGCCAATATGTCTGACTTTATAACACTTGTAATGGGTTTTCTTGATTTCTTCTCCTCCCTATTCACTCCACTCCCTGTTGAAATGCATGATGGACAGGCTCGATATTGTGCATGACACCTGCAACAGGTAGGTGCCAGCTTTCCTTACTGATTATCTTTGAGCCCATTGCAGTCACTCACACGTGTCATTCAACTCACCACATAATGCGAGCACATTCTCCATTTTGGTGAATTTAGACTTTGACATTAGCCTAAAACGGCATAGGTAATCTCTTTTCAATAAGGCCAACAGTGTTGTTGATAAAAATGTGAATTGTACATTCTGAATTTAATTGTGTCATTTCAATTGTAGGTAATGTGTTTTATTGTGCTCTGCAATACATTTCTGTGGTATGGAGTGAACCCCTTTTTGCAGTTAGTATTGGTAGTGGACGTAGTGGTAGATGTAGAAGTTATTGAATGTTAAATACAACAATATATTCATTGTAGTCAAAATAAATGATGAAATTAAATGAAAGTTTCCTTTTAAGTGAGGTAAAACAAAAGCCAATAAACTAGCCTGTTCAGAGATACTGCCACCTGAATTTATCTATTTTGCACTCTCCAAAATAGCCATTTAGCTTCGTTGCATCCTAAAGAATGTCTCTGATGTTTCTTCTCCTTCCTCCACAACACGTATGTTTCTGTTCTCATTTCTTGAGTAATTGTGAAAAAGAAAAGTAACGATCACTAGAAAATATATTTGATTTAAAGCTATTTAAAACTAGCCACGGATTTCCTCATGTTATCAGCATTCTATAGACAGAAGTACAAATGAAGTATTAACATAAAAGAGCTTTAAATTAACCGCCTGTGTGATCTTTGCCTCCAAGTACCCATGATGCACGGTGCTAATCCAGCCGTGTCTGCAGCCGCCACATCTGCCACAAGTGTTCCCTTTGCAACGGCAACAGCCAATCAGGTTTCCTCCACCCTGCATTCTCCCTCTATTTCTTTTTTTCCACTTCTGGTGATAAGGTCTGACTTTTCAGTAGCTGTCAGTTTTCCTTTTTAATCTTATGATTCCCATTTGCCTCTCCATTTGCAAAATGCATGAATGGTGCACATGACTCATCTGCTAGGTTTTCAGAGTGTCTATAACTGTGATTATTTAGATAGTTACAATGCTTATCTTTATTATCAATAAATGTTGAAGCGCTGTTTGTTCTCATTTCAACTGATGTTTGTGTCTCCCTCCCTCTTTGCCCCCCTGTTTATTTATTTCTGTCTTTGCCTTTCCCCTCCCCCTCTCATTTTCTATTTTCTCCTCTCAATCAGATTCCAATAATATCTGCTGACCATCTGACCAGTCACAAATATTTGACCCAGATGTAGGAGTCTTAATCAGAACAGTATGTACTGCACCTCCGTCTAACATCACACACACATTGCATTTGGACCATGCACGGTGTGCTACGTTTTACCCAAATAGCTTTTATGTGAAGGATTTGCCACGACTGCATTTTTTTTTTTTGCAGCTGACAAAGTTGTTTGTTCTGGCTTTTGCCATTATTCATTTTTATTGTTATTATTATTGTTGTTATGTTATTATTTCTATTTATTTTTGAAAAATCAAGTAACATAAAACTGAAAGGAATAATTTGCTTTCATGTAGAGTTCGATGAAAAGATTGATAGCACTCTCAAATACTAAATATGAAGCTACAGCCATCAGCCGCTTAGCTTAGCTTAGCTTAGCTTAGTTTAAAGACTAGAGCAGGGGGCACAGCTAGCCTGGCTCTGTCTAAACGTAACATAACCCACCTACCAGCACCTCTAAAACTCACATTAACATGTTATATGTTGCTGGTTTAATCCGTAGAAAAGCTGATATGTAAAAATACATAATTTGCCTTTGGTGTGAACTCAGAGGCAGATTTCAAGACAATAAGAAACATCTAAACCAAACAGCTTGTCCTCTTGCCTCACATCTGTTTTCTTCCGTGTTTTGTGATCTTCTTTCCAGATGGAGCTGGAGCGCGCTGCTGTCGAGTCCAAGATTAGCGGTCACCCCTCATGCCTGTAACATTAAGAGCAAAACTGAGAACCACATCTAAATTGGTTTGGGATAAATCTGCATGTTAATATAGGAGGCACAGTTTGTAAGGATTATTTTCATGTGTACTTCATGCACACTATTACCCAACAACAGAAAAGAACATCATTTGCATTAAGGACTGCCTTTCGCTCTGTGGAGGCAACTAACCTTCATTCACCGGACACACTTTGAATGTTAACATGAGGCAAAAGAGTGGAGTAGTCGTCAATAACATCGACTGGATTGGTACGTCCATTGACCAAGAATCATGACGTGTTGTTTTTTTTTGTTTATGGGTTGGTGGTCTTTGACCTATATGTGTTCAATTTGCTCACACAAAGGTGCACCGTGTATTTAATTTGAGGTAAAAGAAATGAATGATCTGACGGAATCACATATGCATGCACAACGACTTTATTTATGATTTCATTTTTTTAAACCAGAGATAAGGGAAATGATATGAGTGCGCTCAGAGGCAAAATAGCAACTGAATGTCTGTAAGGCGTCTATCAAACCCTTGTAGCCTACCTTTCTATCTCTTAAGCACATGTATTTAACCTTGCAGGCATCCCTGTAAAGTGCCATACATCTCAAAAACACATGAATGGTATTAAAGCAGTTCTACGAAGTGTTAAACCCAACAATTCCCTTTAATACGTCTATTTTGTCTCTTGGACAGCATGTAGTGTACACTATTGTGACCTTTCATTACCTGTGATTCCCAGTAGCACCACTGGTGACTAGATAACCTGCCCCAGATTGTCTGCTTTACTCAAATCTTCTACTGAATGAATCTGGGTTTTTTCTTTTTGAGGGGGGGGGGGGTTGTGTCAGACTTTGTTGTTTTGTTGTTGATATCAGTTGTTTGGACAGGAAATGCCTGGATCTCTCTGTGGGGTCTTGGCCTGTGCGGGAGACCAAAAGCTCATATTGATGAAGATGTTGCGATGAATAGATCTGAAACAACAGGGCGATCGGTTGGTATCCGAACTGCTGTGAGAACGAAGTCAAAATCCACGATGCAACTGGTGATGGATTTGTATGACCTGATTTGTTTTTCATTTGTTTTGCATATTTTAAGGCAAATTGCCAAAGTAGAGATGTAGTGTATATAGTCTGACATATTTAAAAAATATTTGTTGAATACCTGAGAGCTGTTATCAGATTGTCAGCCAAAGTCTTTTTGTGTCACCGTTACTAGATATCGTGGGTAGACTAGTGAGACTAAATTTAAAAAATGTGTGGTGCCTCACAAGTGGGCCCAAAGTAGGATCGGGTGTATAGAGTAGATCTCTAGAAGTCTTTGTTTTTGTTGTGTTCTGGGTGATCTTGAGGCATATTTCATCGGTGGATAGTACAGGGACAGTGGTAAGAATATAAACGATTGTATTACTCATCCAAAGCCTTAGAATGTACCATCGGGTCAGCACAATGCAACATGCCATTTTGAACCATCCAGTTGCCTAATCCACGCCATATTAACTTACACACACACACACAGAGCACTATGTTATTGTCAATTTCTGGTGTTTTACTTTATTCTGTTTGATGATATTTTGATATTTAGTTCGGATTTTTAGTTTTGCTCATTATATGTATCATTCTTATAATGAACATGAGGTTTAAAAAAAAATGGTGTGTTTGTGTGTTCCTTGTGCACAGTTTCATGAAATTCCATGTAATGTTCATTTTAGTATGATTATGATTGTAAAGTCAATATTTTCTACGTTATGCATATTGTTGAACCGTATGCATATTGTTCATTTCTCTAGTCTATTTGTGTTCTTTGAACAAAAATGTTTTATATGAGTATCTAGTGATGAAATAATAGAACAGAGAGGCTAAGTTGTCACTGTGGCAACCATCGCCGATAACTGAGTAATATTTTAAGGATTGTAAGGTTTGTAACTGGTCATACAAGAAAAAAAAAAGACTTGTAAAAATATAGTTCTTAGATGTTTAGAGTAAAGATGTTATTTTCTACTGTATCCATTTCAAATAGTAAATATTGTTTTAATATTTTTACTCTCCCTGGAAATTGGGCCATGTTGGAAAACAAGCTGCATATTTGATCACTTTTTGGGGGCGTCGCTGGCGGGGTCAGGTGAACGGGGTGAGTAGGGAGCTGAGTCTGCACACCCGTCTCTTACTTAGCCAACTGCAAACAACAAGGGAGGGGATGGGGAATCCTGAGGCGATAAAGGTGATAAAGGTTGACTTTTTTGCACTTCTGTACATAGTCAAAAAAGAGAGATTCATGTATATTGAGATCTTATTTTGAATAAAAAAAGTATGTCTATAATGACACGGAATTTTGCTAGGATAACAAAAAAAAAAAAAATCTTATGAAAGGCTGAACAAAATTGCTTGCATCAAAAGGTCACTGAGTTCTCACGCTCCGACCCCTTTCAGAAAAGGCCGAGTGTTGCTCTTCTTTTTTGTCAGCAGCTTGTAGTTTGCCAGGTAACCTTCCGGAGGAGGCGTCCACTACCCTCCAGCGTGAGGGCCTGACTGGGTTTGTCTGGTCCCCTAACCCGCCTGTACTGACAGGTCTGTGTGTCATGGCCACGCCCTACCAGGCCCAACCAATCACAACACGTCCTGTCTCCTCACTTAACTCAGAGAGGAATGCATGCTAAAGGAAATACATATACCGTTGAAAAAGAATCACAGCAGCAATATTGATTAAGAAAATATGTTACACAGAAAGATGTATTTACAGTATACAATATTCTATCAATGTAATTGAATAAAATATATATATAAAAATACAAAAATAGAATAGTGGTTTATTTAAAAAAAAGAAGAAAAAAAAGATTCCTGAGAACATACTCACTACAGTTTTACCACTTGGAGAGTACAAGCAACACAAACACCATAGCTTATAAGTATGTTCTTTATGTTTATGTAAGCTGTGCTTCTAGTAGATGAAACTGACCAAACAGGAATATAGTTCAACATCAGGTGAAATGTAAGAATCATTTCAGATTGAAATACTGTTTTGTGGTTTGGTCATTAAGTCGTTCGTTTGAAATTGTGTCCTGATCATCTTTGTCATCTCTCATCTCCTACAAGCACGCATGCTTACGTTTATGATATAATGTAAACTGAACTCTTTTTTTTTTTTCATTTCTTGTTTGTTTTCTCTGCTCGTAGTGCCAATATGATGTATTCTGTCTTCTGCTGCAATTACTTTTGCTTGTTTTATTGCTCCAGGCCCCTTGAAAGGACGTGTCATGTTTAAATATACCGGCCACCTCATCTGAAAAGCACCTGTAGAGAACATCTCTGATTGCCACAGTCTAAAGCCATAAAATATAATCTCATCAGAACGAAATGTGTGTGAGGAAATCAGAAATGAAATCGAGGTAGGAAACGGCACCTTCTGAAGCTGGTATGTTCGCTGGGGTTTTATAAACTACATCGTGTAATAATTAAAGTCGTGAATGTAGCTAATATAACCTGTGTGCTGCACCAACTTTGATGGATGTCTGTGGTTAAGAGAGAAAAAGTTCTTGACACATTTTTCCACGGGGCCTGCATTGCTATATTTGATTCTTGCTGTTATGAATTTAAAAAAAAAAGTAATAAAAATTTACAAATGAACTGAGGAAATTGCTTTGTACATAATTTCATACATATGGGATTTGTAGCTAAATGTTGTTGTGTTGAATTAAAGTAATAGTTCCACATTTTATAAAAAGATTTGCTTTCTTGCCAAGGGTTTGATGAGAAAGTTGATAGAGCCCTCATACCGTTCATATAAAACTGCAGCCAATAGCTAGTTAGCTTAGCTAAGCAGAAACACAGGGATACAATTGGACATAACCACCACTTCTCATCCAAGCAAGAAAGCTAATAGGCATATTTCCCCAAATGTCAAACTATTTCTCGAAGTAAAGCCACATTCTAACTAATAACCAATCACAAATACGCTGGAACCGTGATATCATGTAGAATTGTTAATCCTCTGAATAAGCCAACATGTTGAACAAGAAATTCAATGACATGTGTTGCCATACTTGCAGTGCACCACTGTGACTGAATAAAGTATTTCTGTGTCATATATAGTTCACTGTACTACACAGGCCATTCACAATACATTACAGAGTCATGGAGACTAGTGAAAACTTGATGAAATATGTCTACTAATCACCAATACTTAAGCAAACACTTTATTTTATAATTGTATCCTGTTAAAAAAGCTCTGCTTTATTCACCGTAAGATACCCTCTATTGTCAAATAGATATCGTTATCTTTTTCATGTAATTATTGTATATCTGCAGTAACTTTATTAATTACATGTACTCATATTCAGTGAGTGGGCATTGGTCCAACATGTTACATACATATCTTTTAATATTTGTATTGCACTCAGTGACTCCAAATCAATATTGCTATTCATTAAAATCCTATTATAGATACAATGCATCAATTTGTCCTGCCCACTGAAGCTTCTGATTAGGAGCAAAGATTTTAATTGAGAAAGAGATATCATTTCTTTGCAAAACATGTACTGATAATAACGGATACATTTTTTTTAATGAAGCAAATTAAGTCAGTGGGGTGAGCGTTGAAATACTGAGGCCATTCATTCTACTTACATAGCATGTTCACACATTGTGGAGGAGACACGTTTCATGTCAGCATTTTGGCATTTAAAACAATATGTTGTCCACCCCTGTTTCACAGGTGTTTTCAGTTAAAGTGGCTGATTAGAACAGTCTGCGCATGTCCACATGGTCCTGATAAGGTGTCTAATTAGCCAAAGTAATTGAAAACACCTGCTTGCAATTTGCAGGGGCTTCAGCGTTAGATGTCTTTTCACAGAAACCAGTCACGGGTTCACGTGTCCTTTTCTTCAAGCGAAACGATAACCATGCTGCCGGTTTAAAGATGTGATGCACAGAACAGCCACCAGATAGCACCATCTCTTTGTCGGTTGGGGCTCACAGTCCAGCAGTGACTGCACAACTCAAGAATCTGCAATCACAAAGTCCATCATTTGAGCGGTCCATATATATCAAATCTTTGGATGTTTTTTTATTTAATCAAAGAAGTATTTGAAAAAGGCTGAGATTATTGTTCCTGGTGATTTATCATCCTCTGATCATTCCACAATCGAATCAAATGACATAATAGCGACAGTTGTCAGGGAAAATGAGGCGGACAGATAGTTGGATGGAAATTATCCCCTGAAGCTTGGATGCAGTGAGCTGTTGGGGGGTTTGCCAACCCACTGCTTGAGTTGTTGTGGAAATGTTGACTAAGCCAGCATTAACAGGAAGCTGCAGGCCATTATCCCTAATGCATTGTGTCCTTACTCGTCGATTTCTACGTCAGATTATCTGCCTGAAAAAGAAATCATCAAATTATCTCGAGTCACAGAAATTTGTGATGACTGTGGGTTTTTTTTTATTCCACTACTTCTTATCACGTTTAATCTCACTCTTCTCTCTCATTCCCTTTCTCCTTGCACAACTATTTTGTCTCCCTCCTGTCCACTCCAGCTCCCTTTTCCTTGTCTCTTTCCTTCCATCTCTCCCCCTGCATCTCTTTCCCTCACAGCTTTTGTCCTAACTCTCCTCAGTTGTCTCTCTCCTCTCCCTCTCCTCCATCTCTCTGTCCACAGGCGTTAGCGGCAGACTGTGTCGTGTGGAGACTTAATGAAGCAATGCTGATCCAATAATGGCAGCTTCTGTCGCCCGCCTCACAAAGTATGATGTACGACCTCTTGTCCGCAACGCATCATGAATCTCACTTACCACTGCCCCCTCAACATGCCCAGTTTTTCAATTAGGCTCTTTTTAGAACAACAAAGAAGGCTGAATAGTGTGTGAGTTTGTGTGTGATTCTGGGTGTGAGGGGATAAAAAAAAGAATGCACCCCCCCAGCCAAGTTGTCATGTGGGAAAAACAAAAAAACAGAAGGAAGTTGCAGTTTGAACACTCAGCCGTAACAATCCATTAATACACAATACACATTTCATTTAATGAATTACCTCTCAGGGGAGGAAAATATTGAGAAATACAATTACAAATGTAAACACTTTCATTTGTGAATTATAGATAGAGACAAAACAGTGATGAGGTTTTCTGGATTCAATTAAGGGGTTCGATCTTTTTTTCTTTGATTTTTTTTAAAGTGACCCCATGACGAACTAATGCTCTGACCTCATTATGGAGGCAATAATGAGAAACAAGGGAGGGAGAAGAAGAGAGCTTGAAAACAAGCCAAAGAGGGACCGGAGAAAAAACAACAACAACAACAAGAGAAGCCGAAGTGAAGACCGAAGAGAAAGTGATGGTGGCAGAAGTGAATCTTTAAATTCACTGAGTATTGGATGTGGCAGGAGGTACAATAGTGAGATGCAAGTGTATGAAGAAATAATGATGATGTGTTTCCTTTGAGATCAGAGAAAATAGGAATCATAAAGGGTTTTATGTGCAGACAAAAAGAGACAGACAGATAATTCCAGGGTTGATGCATGATGATCACAAACAGCGTGGATAATCATCTTCACTTTTTGACACCTTTACTTAAAAGCAAACATTTCATCCCCACCTTGACTTAAACCCTGTTGCTGTCTTTCCCTCACTCCAGTCTGTCTGCTGAGTCACCACTTGACTCTCACTGAGTGCTACTTGGAGCACGACTCAAACATTCAATTTTCTCCAGGGTGTATGTGGGAGTGTGTGTGTGCATGCATCCAGGTGTATTTGATTATTGTAAGTGTGTTTGTGTGTGTGTACGTGTTTACTTTAAGTGTGAGTGTTTTTTTTCCTGTGCTGATGGAAAAAAGAGAGTGGGAGAAGCAGGTTAGTCTAATATCATCTCCTCCTGGACGAGGAGCGGTATCGATTTTGCCGGTTGCAGTCCATCATAGAATTTAACACCAACCATCTGCCGCACTGCTAATAACAGGGCTGTGATTTTGTTGTGTTTTGATGCGAGTCGTGTAACTGAATCCCTTGTTCCATTTAGGTCTTGGCTACCATGTATTTAGCTTCCTGTAACCCTATCGCAACACATGTGCCAGCCTTTGAAAGTTGGAAGCAACTATCCACTGTTCTGTATCCTCAAATGAGTTCCCATGGGCCGAACACTTTGTTGACAATTTCAGGGCAACTTCCTGGTAGTTAACTTGAACATTGTCAACTTTAGCGTCTTAAGAAGACTGCCTGAATACACAATTAGTTTTGCTCACTGTGAGGACAGACAAGAAAAGGTGCAGGTAATGTAAATATCAGTCGTAGAAGGCCTTTATATTTAGAGTTCTTCAAAGGAGGGAGCCTCTCGCTTGGGAACATTGTGTCGCAAGCATGTTGGGGAAAAAAATTGTATTGCATTGTAGGTAAAACAAACAGACTTTGGCAGCCCAAGTCTGCATGTTGAATGCAGCATTAAACCTACTTAAACTTAAACTTTCGGCGGTCTCTCTGGACAAAGGTAGCAGTGTTTCTGAGCACCAGATTCCCTTGAGAAAACTCCTTATTTTACTGCAGCAGGGTCTGACAGTCTGCCCTGCTCAGGCCTGGTTCTGGTTTGTTTGTAAAAGACTCGAGAGTTACAGAAGACTTGGAATGCCTGTGATGTTTCATAATTGGAATGGGAGTTCAATGATGCATTGAATAGTTGAACTTCAACCTTCAAACTTCAATCAGATCGGCACATGTCATATGTAGGCCCACGGTATGACCTCGAGCCTCTACTAAACTTCAGTGACAGCATTTGCAGTTTGCTGAATATTTTGGCTCTTAGATAGCCAAAGTAGAACAAGTCGAAGAGTACATAACAACCGGCAGGGCATTTTGCTAACAGAATATGGGTCACACAAAGAGGGTACTGAGGGCACAGCTGTACCGAGATATGAACGGCCACTATTCACATGGTGACAGGATGTCCCTCGGCGTAACGTGTTACACACAAAGACAGTAATAAAGTAGGAGAGAGGAGGTCAGGGAAGGCACGATGTAGGTCCTATTAATATGCTGTGTGATATCCTTTATTGTGAGATAATTAGCCAGTCATCTGTCTTTCCTGTGCTGTGTGATGCTATTCGAGGACAAACGAAGGAGCAGTGAGGAAATTTGACGGAGAATGTGAGCCGGAGAGACAAAGCCCAGAGAAAGATTGCATTGTGACACCAGAGCTCACAGGAAGAAAGAAGCAAAAAATCTGTTGTAACAGCTGTGGTGTAGGCTAAACTTCATCTTTGTGACAGGACTCTGTGGACAGCTCGGAGGATGAAGTGAACAGTCACATGAGTGAGGAGCCAAAAGGGATTCAAGTCAACTCATGGCCCAGCCTCACCCCAAAGCTTGGGAAGGTGGAGTGGGGAGGGGAGGAGAAAGGAGGTGGGGATCACAAAGACAGATTATTTAAAGCTTTAATATAAATCGGCACTTCGGGGTTAACAGAGTATAAATCAGTATGCCGCTCGTGTGAATGTGTGTATGCGAAACACCCTTAATCCATCTCTCTCATTAATGCGATTCCTCAACAGCTCCTTCTCTCTTTTCCTCCCTCACTCTACCATATCTGTCCCATCTCTGCTCATGTTTAGCACATAAAGCAGTCTGCTCACTGAGCCTATCAACAGGCT